CTAAATATCTAGCTGAAACTGGATTGCTGCAACAGTTTTCCCCCTATTCATAGAGATTAACTCCGAACGAGGTTGTGCTTTGGCTCTGCGGTCATCTGACGTAAATGGACCGTGCTAGCATAACAGTCGTTAGCAGACGTGTTCAAGGATTTACCCTCCTAGCTGAGCGTGCCAGCTCGCTCATTTTCAAATTAGCGCCGAACGCCGCGTACGGTTCGGGCTGTCATCGGGGGTTGAAGAGGTGCCTGATTTAGAAGGAGAAACGTGGGTTTTAGGTTGAAGAAAAAATTATCAGGAGTTTTGAAAACCAGGGGCAGAAACTGACTGCCGCACCGGCCCGTAAAGCGGACTCCAAAGGCAGTTACTGCAGAATTGGGAAGATGAGGTCACGTTATTGGCTCCTACGTTCGGGGCAGTGCTTGTTCAGATGTGTTGTTGGCTGATGCGTGAAGGCTAGAGAAGGTGGCTCACGCCTGTACGGCCGCCAGTGTGAAGTCGGGCCATCTGGGAATGGTTTGGAAAATGAGGGCATTGGAGAAAGACGTGATCTGAAAAATGTTTTTCGCCTTTTGAGAACTGTATGGAAGATCCTTTTTTTGACAGGGAGATGAAGTGAAACAACACAGGCACGATAAGTTTAAAGCAAAGCAATATACAGTATGAGAAAGAAGACAATTTTAGGTTGTTCTTCAAGTGGGAAGTTGACAAGCACTAACATCAGAATAGTGAAGATCCGCGAAAACTGTGAATGATGGTTAGACACAAATAAAACCAGATGACATCATGTAAAAAAAGACAAGCTAAAAATACAGATTTTTTTTTTTGTCAATGTAAATCAGTGCAAAGAGACAAACACAAACTGTCATGTTATTCTAATGAATTCTTTAAAAAATGCTTTAAATTTGTCATGAATTAGCCATTCATCACTATTAAAATCACAAAGTCAGGATTAATTACCAATTAAGTTACCAGTTTTGGCATCGGCTTTGAAATTTGTCAGACTGAAGTTGTTTTAGGTGGCTCTGACATCCTTCTTCTAGGTTAGCGATTACATTTACAGGTCAATTGAATGGTCCTATGTGGTAAAACCGTGACTTAAAGAAAACTTCTCTGACCTCACAATGCGACACATCTCACTAATAGTATAAAAACAATGGCAAATGCAAGGGACCAGCTTAGGGACCAGAAACAGCTGTGGGAGCTCATCAGCATTGCCTCATTCTGTAACCGGGTGACATATTTTGTGGATGAAAGTGACCAAGAGACCCCCCCAAGTGCCATCCCACAGCAACACTGCCGTTCGGAATTTAGCTGTTAAAAATCACAAAGCTGCCGGTCTTTGGGCCCCGGGCTCATTTGCCGTGCAGCCTTTGCCTGTTTAAAGCTGCGTGTGTGCATAACGGGATGTATATCTGCTGATTCAGAGCAGGCGGGCCGCAGCGTGCTGTTTAATACGGAGCCCGCTGCCAGAGGAATGTTTTAGGTGCGGTAAAGCTAGACGAAGAAGTCCGCTTAAAGTTTCCTGCCTTTTGATGAGTTGTGCGTTTGCTCATCTTTGCTTTTTAGTGATTGGTTGCTGGATGTAACAGTTCTTGATATGGGTGTCCAAACTTTTTTTTTCATTTTCCCCACAGCCTCGCAATCCCTCAAATCTTTTCAGGAGTTTTTTTTTTCCCTAGCAGTTTTCCGTGCTGATAGCGAATACGAATGAGCAGGAATCTCTGCTAAACCCCCCTTACGTCTTGTCCGCGCCTCACCAAAGCGCAGACAAGATCTGTGACACCGCTGCAGCCACGAGTTGGTGCTCCGGTGGGATTTTGACTCATGTTGCCTGAATGTGGGCCAGTCAGCGGAAAAAAAAAAACCCAAAAGTGCAGCTGCAGTCTGTAAATATTCCTGATACCACTGAATACAGTCTCGCTGTGGAATGACATCCCTTTACTGTCCATACGAAATCAGAAGACAAACGATGTCCTATCCCTAACCCTAACCCTGACCCTAACCTTACCCCTAACCCTAACCCTAACCCTGACCCTAACCTTAACCCTAACCATAAGCCTCCACCCTTCATAATTGTGAGAAAGAACTATTTTTGGGTTAAATTTGTTTGGACTTATTGCACAAACCTTTTTAACATACAGTATTTTAAGCTTATATTGTGTTTAGAGTTCAAGTTTGCAAGATTAATTTAACTATTTTTTAATTAATGTCTGTCTAGCCATGAAGCAATTACAATTTTCTTGCCTGGGATCTTCCTATTGGTGACGTAATCAAAATGGCCGACTTGGCTATCCATCCGTGGCTTCCTACAGTCTGCAGCGATATGTACTTGTGCTTTCGTGGTTTACGAGCAGAGAGTTTGGGGACGAAAGCGGGCGGTTTAAAAAGTGGTCAGATGCCACCGACGCAGGAATGTGCTGACAGAAGAACTGTATCAGTAAACACAGATTTCCACGGTGCGATAAATACTGACAAATTAAGGTCTCTCGGCTCACATCTGGGATACCTCGTCTCAACCCCGGCGACACCTCTCCAGTTTTGGGAAAGCTTCACGGCATTAGTCTTCGCAGTCATGTCGTAAAGATTTAGATTTTTTGCGAATGCGGTAAAAGTAGCTTAGAGGTTTTACGGGTTTAAACAAACAGATCCTTGTGCCCATTCAGTTCAGCGCCGTCATTGGTCCCAGGCCGGGGTGGTGTTAGTAAGCCTGACTGGAATGGCAGACGGCCTCCTCGGTGAAGCTGGGATTCTTTTTTCTTTTCCTTTTTTTGCTTCTTTTTCCCTTTTTGGGCCACTTTCAGCCGTGAGAATGGCACTGGAGGGCCCTGTTTTCAGAGCAGTGAGTCGTTTTCCCAGACACCACGGGATTGTAGCTTTCTGGGTGACGAGAGGCTGGAAGTAGACTCGGTGGGAAAATCAGAGAAGCACAGAAGTTGCAGGAAGTTATTTGAAAAACATAAGGCAGCCCGTTTCTGCTGCAATATCCTCCTAGGATCACAGGCACACTCAATACGTCAAAAGAAGCTACTTTATAAACCTTTGCACCATCGTCCATATCCACATCGAACAGTGTCAGTGCAAACTGCCAGTGTCACATTACTGTATTTATTTAATCAGATGACCCATTAAATCACCTGACACAAAAAATGTGCGATATCTCATGTGTTCTAGGTGCAATTCCACATGTGTAGTTAAGAATTAACAAAACTATTTTCATCTTAAATGATCTGACAGTATGGATTTTTATTTTACATCTGGTGTTTAGGTATTTAGCCTTGTTGTTTATTAAGTACTTAGTTTTTTACACTTTTTAACAGGCTTCCAAAATTGGGATCTGGGAGCAAATTGAGCACCGTAAACGTGTAGCACATTGTTGCGATTCTATCTGATATCCTGGGATAAGAATGAAAAAGAAGAAACAAAACCTTGTCTGCATTTTTGCGTTAAAAACTAAAACACCAATCTATTCTATTTACATGAGTGTACTTTTTTATTTTCAAGGTCTAATTTTCCAGCCCTGTTTCTTCTGACCCGGTTTCTCTGGCGCCCTGTTTTCTGACTTCTTGGACTATCTGCCTGACGACAAAACCCTCCTCTAGCTGCCCTTTGTGCTCCTCTCCAAAAACACACATTTTCCTTTCTCTTTGAAATACAATTTTTCTTTTGGACTGTACAAAACCAGCTATGAGTAAGAAATACCTGTAATCTGGGAGGGGTTACACTGAGAATTTGGCCAAATGCGTAATTTAAATGACTGTGTAAATGGGTTAGTCTGACCTTCTCCCGTCAGCATCCAATTTTAAATGTTCAGAATTAGATCTTCATCGCTTGAGAGGAGATAGAAGCATGGTGTAAAGAGCAAACATCCACAAATGTCTCTGTAATTACCAGTTTGTTGCTGTTTGATGACGACTGGCTGGAAAATGCTGGTCACGGTTCCTAAATCTAGATGTTCAGGATAGGAAAAGCACTTCAACATAACCTTTCATTATTATTCAGCCCCATCTATTTTTTTTTATCAGGTTTAATGTTTAAAAGTAGATTACATCAACCAATAACTTTGATTTGTGCAAATTTTTCTTGTCTTTAACTTTGATTTGCTCCTTTTCTATGTCCAGTTGATGTCAGAATAATGGACACTTCGCCAACTGGGTGGTTTAAATGTTTCTGTTAGATTTATGTTCATTATTATGCTTATGCCCGTCCTTTCCATTCATCGTAATTTAATCCCGATGAGTTTGTCTAAAAACTGGCCAAAAAGAGAGGCGTTTCGCACATTAACAGCAATCCTAGTTAAGTTACACCATCTCCATAATAAGGAGAAATTTGACCTTACATTTTGCTAACAAAGTTAATCATCTTTCCATCCCATCTCCCCCTTGTTTCCTTTTGTTTCGCTCTCTCTCTCTCTCTGCTCTCTAATGGCACCGGACCAGACATATGGTTCACATCCTGCCCCAGTCGAAAAAAACACGGGCTTTGACAATTTGCTCTTACATAACCTCGCGCTTCTGTTGAGCTTGATCACTTTGCCGGAAAAATGGCGATGCCCCCCTCTCTCTCCCTGTGAGCCATTCCTCTGGTACCAAACCTCAAACCTCTGAACTTAAGGGCTCGAGTCTGAATCATTAAAATTAGATCAAGGGCCTCTTGGGGTGAAGGGGTTTTTTTGGGGGTGAAACGGTTTTTCTCAAGAACCACTTGGGTAAAATGGCCCACTTCCTCTCCCACCGTTGTTTGGACAGGTGAGCGAAACTGCAAGCTAGGCCCCGATCCCACGGCTTGCGAGCCACCTCAGACAAATCCGAACCTTCCAAGGCAAACACCGGCCACTGTGGGTCAGAAACAAAGACGGGCAGCAGAAAAACCGAACGTGGGAGTCCTCGGATTCACCTCGTGCTGAATAAATACTCGGAGAAGGTCCCCGTGCCTCTGCGCGGCCATTAGCTGCCGTCTCCGCCAGACTGTATGCGCTCTGCCCCCCCCCCCCCGTTGCCATAATGGAACAAACAGCGCAGGATCCTGGCTGGTCAGAGAACATGTGTACGCATGCATCCAAAGCTTGTGGGGCTATTTCTGTCGGCACAGCACATTTTGTTGAACTACATGTTCTCCTCCTCTACCCCTAGCCTTTTCATTTTTAGTTTATTTTTCTTCTTTTGAGAAGATTTTGATTAGCTTGTAAGGTCCGGTCCTATGTCTTTGCTTGATTCAGCCTTTAAAGTGGAAGAACAGCACACACCGTCACAGAGAAAACGCTGACACTCGACTTTTAGTTTCGTTATTACCACTCAGATTATTGAAAATTCTCAGTGTGGGAATCTGCTGTTGCATTTGCATTATACATTATTATACATGGCACATGGGTGGCCCCAGAGAGCCTACACCGCTCTGTTTTTCTCCAGAGTCAGAGACACTCAGCTTCTTTTTTAGCAGTTTGCACAATCAGTCTGTTTGTTTTCCTTGGGTCGGGTGGTATTTGGGTCACATTTTTATTCTATCTGACAGTATGTAACCGCTAAAAAAATGTTAGAATTACCGTTTAAACTGTAACTGCTGGGCTACAAAGTTTAAAAAAACATAAGTCCACCAAACAAAGCACATGATACGGGTCTGTTGTTTTAGTCAGCGAGACAAAAAAATAAGAAGCTTTGAATGACTTAATCGTGATGGGAAACTCCCTGGTATTGCCTGGAGTTTTCTTCCCCAAAACTTGGCTTAACGGTAGAATTACATATCCATTTCAGAGAACCAAGAAACATGACAAATGCAGGCAAATGTTTTTCCGTTTAAAGTCTGTCCACATGGACAGTGCTTTGTTGTCCAGGATACTGGAAACAAATGTCCGATTTTTGTTTTTTTTAAATCAAAAGGCATGACCGTCCCATCTACAAGAAATGTTATTTTGTTATGTGTACACCAGATTCCCTGACAAATTTCAGGGTATTAAGAAGTACAGTTTGATAAAAGTGTCATTGAATCTGTCAGTGATACAAAACCACCATTTTAGAGGTATTGGCACGATGCTTTATTTGGCATACAATTAAATAGATTTTCCACTTGACCTTTTAACACATGAATCTGTGTGCAGTTCCATTCTTAGGTTACCGATCAGTTAATCAGCATGAAAAACAGGACAGTGGGCCTCATTCTCTTAAGAGGGCTCCAGTTTAACTGTATTCCGCTTGCCCATTTCCCAACCGTCTCCTCTGGGTTGACTTTTTTTTTTTTTTAACCAAACTGATGACCAGCTGGTCCCCTCCTTTAAAGCTGACACTTGATGAAGCCGGCTGAAACACATTAAGACAGCCTCGACGTAAGGAAATGGGCCCGTTTTAAAAGGAGTCCTCCTGGGGTGACTCGGCCTTATTTACTGAGCCTCGGGGGCCTCATTTGGTATACAAAAAAGCACCGAATTCTGCTTTGGCCCACTAGCCTCTTTAATCTCTCATGCACTTTTTGTTACCCAACCCATGCAAGCTCATTTCTTTTGCTACGGTTTGCCTTTTTAGCAACTCTTAAAGCAGTTTTAAACGTTTATTCAATAAAGTTGGCCACAAACAGTAGAAACAGAATAGTTTAGTTAAGTGTTTCATTTAATCCACACTAATGCAGCTTGCTCTCCATGTTGCGAAGGTAATGTTTCGACCCTCCTGTCGTTTTTGGCTCGCTATGACGCCATTTTCCAGTTTGAGTGTTCCACCATGTGGAGTTCAGTGTATGTCTGTCAGATAGCTTAAACTGTTTTAGCCTAAAAATCTTTTGGGGGGGAGGTGAGGTCTGGCTGAACAAATCAAATGTAACTCACTTATGTTGAGTATATTCATTGTTTTGGTCATGAATTGAGGCTATTTGTTCCACGTTTCTGTTGCCATCCTAAATGTGCAAACTGTTTGTTTGTTTCCCTTGTGTCTTTCTTTAAGGTCTGGCAGTGTGAAGGGTCACTGGGAAGAAATCTTTGACTTTGTGAAGAATCTAGCGGAGAAATTCAAAAGGTAAAACATCCCGATGTCTCACCGCACACAACTGGACGACACCGTTGAAATCGAAATGTTTTGCATGCACGGTTCTCGGTTTGGTTACCTTTTGTTGACTTCCTGAAGCCCTGAGGTCTAGATCACTAAAGAGAAACGCATGCTTTTGACAACTGTAAAGTGAAACTGTCCCCAGTGCTACGGGGGAACATATGCTGGTTGAATCAGTGTCCGGGCTGATGATTCAGGTGGCAGCAGCCTGGCTAAAGTCTGGTGCCTTCAGTGTCCAGCAGCAAAGAGATTTATTTTTGCAAATCACAAATCTTGGTTTTTCAAGCTTCACTCAACTCTGATTTTTGGTGTTTTTCCGAAAATGTTTGTCATATTTCTACATTAGACTACATTAGAAAAATTGCCACTGGGCTTCCTCTGGGCACATTTACAATAGTGTCCAATTATGTTATATTTCAATCTTCAAATTCCTGACCTGCAGTGATCATTTGAGGATTAGAAAAGTAAATAGCTTTTGTAAAAAAGTTGTCATATCTATATCCATATATTTGGCTGAGATGTGGCTCTGTTTTTCCGCTGGTAATGCCACAGCAGCACCTGCAGCTTCGTGGTCGAACCGCAGCAAAAGTTCTTCCTCGAAGTTTCAGTTTCAAACAAACAGGAGACGAAGTTCAGATCTGCCTTTGCTCTCCAAGTCCAGCAAACGGCTTAAAATTTGATTCCGGACAGCTTTCCCTGACGAACAAAAAAGTATTCTGCATCTGCGATTCACCAACATAGTATCAATAACGATATCAATAATCAATTACATCCTCGTGTGTCTGATCCTGACTTCAGTATAATAAAATATTCATACACAGACAAGTGGGATGACTTACAAGCACATGATGAATTATTGGTAAGGTACAGCCATACCGTTATGTTTTATAGTTCTGAATAAATCTAAAGCAGGATCCCTGAATCTCAAATGGTGTCTCAGCATTCTTAATAGTAAGAAATTATCATAACGAGCAGGCAAAAGATACATTTCAGCTTTCGTAGGTAACTCTATAGGATGAATTCCCTGTGATGACGATGTCCCCCCCCCCCCCCATTTCCTGTTGCAGTCCCATGCTGAGGATGTCCTTCATTACATTCTCCTCCAAATCGTCCACCATCATGAAGCTAACAGAAAACAGGTAAATGAAGCTGGCCGTCTAACACCAGGTGACACACATGAACTGAATTTGTGCTTCACAAAGACTGTTGTAATTTCAAGAGGCCTTTACACAGGAGCCTATATCAGTTTTAAAGTAAAACCAAACTGCTTTTTAATAATGGAGGAAGATACCAAAAAATAAAAGTAAAGGATTAAATAAAGCAATTGGCAGATGGAATTTGGGAGGCTTTGATAATACTCATCTACAGACTTAATCTTTTAATGCAGCCTCAAGAAACAATCAAATTAATAACCTTTTAAACATCTTGATTTGTTTGTTTTTTATATGTGAGAACTGGGACAGCTCTCTATAAGCGCTATAACTTCTACAATAAATAAAATAAAAATAAAAATTTAAAAATCCCATCTACCAGTAAGGGATTTCCCTTTTTGTTGGGTGCACACCAGAATCTACTTATGTAGATTTTTGTTTATTTGGTTATTTCTGCTTATTTCATTCTAGATTGATTGGTGTTATGCATCAAAATGTGACGATTTTCAAATCCAATTTTAACAACCAGTGCAACCTAAGTCACTTCCATCCCATCTCGATCTTTCAAGACTCCAATAGGTTTATGAAACAGATGGGCAACAAGACCGGTTCACAAACTATTTCACCTTGGACCTTCAGTCAAATGACGAAATAAGATCTTTTTTTTGCAGCAGGATCTAGTGCATCTAGTCTGTAACAACGCCAAACACTTTTTTATCTTTTTTACTCGACAGGGTGAACATCAGGAAAGGTCTGAATGCTCTGCAAAAAGAGATTCCTGGGGGAGACACGTTCATGCACCTCGGGTTACAGAGTGTAAGTCTGCATTAGAACTGGTTTGTTTGGTCACTATAAGTACAAATGACAGCACCGTTTGAGCTCCATCTTCTCTTCTTATTTGAAGGCAAACGAGCAGATACGGAAAGAGAACTTTGGTAAGGATCAAGTTTATCTGCTATAAGAAAAACTACTTGTACCAGACCACTTATATACGCTAATCCTCCTTCTAGTTAGATGCTACATTGAATGTAGAAGTTACAGTTTGCTCTTGCGTGCTTTCCAGGCACAGCCAGTGTGATTATCGCGCTGACAGACGGAGAGCTGCATGATCATCAGCTCATCGACGCACAGCAGCAGGTAAGGGTATTTTTCTAAGCTAAGCTCATTTCCATAAATACTTCTGGTCGCGTACATAGGCAGAGATTCTCACTTCTCTTTTTTTTATGATCGTTTTGCTTGTATCTTCCATCAGGCAGAGGAGGCCAGATCTCTGGGCGCTATCGTGTATTGCGTCGGTGTCAAAGATTTCAATGAGACGCAGGTAAAGCAGCTGGAAGATAACTGATATGAAGAAGAGAAATAATTAGTGAAACACGGGTCTTGTAGGATAAGCACAAAATCGTATGTTGTCGGAGATCGAAAGAATGTGTCAAAAAAGCTTCTAAAAGCCAACTCCAGTAATTTCAACTCTCAGATTCCCCTCAAAGTGAAACAAACTAAATAACTATAACTTTACCAGAAGTAAGCTGAAACGTAGTGATGCTGGAGTTTATGTGTACTGTGACAGAGTTGTGGAAAACTTGTGCTGTCAAGCTGTTGTTCTGTGAAACTAAACCGCTCAAATTTCATTTGAAATTCTAGTCGTGTTTTTGATTATTCTGTGGAGCAATTCCTCCTTATGTTTTTCTTTATCTTTGCATCTCTCTCTCTCAATACAGCTGGCCATTATTGCAGACACCATAGAGCACGTGTTTCCTGTGTTGGGAGGCTTCCACGCCCTCAGGGGTGTCATCGATTCGGTAACTAAACTCTCAGAACAACTGTTAAGACGTTTACATGAATCTGTTCTGCAGTTACCTTTGCCTCTTTTTTTACGGCTATGTTTGTTTTATAGCCATGAGATCTTTCTGTATAAATGAACACTAGCAGTGCAAATACAGAAAACAGACTTTTTTTGTCATATTCCTTAAAGAGGGCCTTCATAAGAGTGCAAAGGGAGTACTGACTACTGGAGGTTTCGACTAATTTAACTGTAGCTCTTTGTGGACACCGGCCTTAAGAAATACATACACACTTAGGCCGCAGAAGCCAGTTTATCTCATCAGCTCATGGCAAACACAGCATCAGCCTCAGGCAAAAACCCATTATGTCGAAACCATTTCCCTTTTCAGGAATAATCCATTTCCATTATCCGTTCAAGACAGTGATGGCAACGAAACTGTGAGGTTTTGCAAACAGTCTAATGGAGTTACAACATTATACCACAAGCTCTGTCATCACCTCTCATTTAAAAAAACAGACACAAAGTCATGTAAAAAGTGAAGATATTTAAACGTTTCAACATGGAGCTCCCAGATTTCTGTTTGACAGTGATAGATGGCGACCTGCTGCCCAAATAATAGCCTGCTAAACAAGCCAGTCTTATGCCCAGTTTCTGCTTACAGCTGTTAGCTCTTAACAAGCTAGCTCAACAAGCTAGCTCATCAAGCTAGCTTTAGCTACAGCTGAGTTTGAAAGCTACAGCTGAATTTTACTTTCATTGTTAGATATATTACACGTCTTTTTATTGACTACATTGCGCTTCCAATGCCCTGCAAAAGTTTGGGCACTGTTTAAAATTTCTGTTGATGGGAACAGTTAGTCAAAGATGAAAATGGCACTTGCCCTTTATATTTTATGCTAATTCAGTTCAATTTAAACGTTTACATTTTCAAAATAACATATAAGGAAATGCCATTGTATATTTCAGACATTACTTTTTATTATCTTAGCTCCAACAGTCAGTTGGATGAATAATGAGTACGATTAAGCTAACTCGATTCTTGCTAGGACCAAGAGCATTTTGAAGGAGCTTTTGTCTGTTATGAAAATAACTTGAAAGTTTCCCTGATATACAGAGGGTAGTGTCAACAGAGGTGCTCTTGCTTTCCAGATCATCAAGAAATCCTGCATTGAAATTTTGGCAGCTGAGCCCTCCAGTGTGTGTGCAGGAGGTGGGTCGCAAGCAAAAAAGTCCCTTCTACAGTCACACACACATGCACACACACACATTCAAAGGGGTCCTGTTTGAGCCATTGACAGTGTGTTTATTTAATTACTGGGTGCCTTATTTTAATTTTTCTTTATTGACGATCCAAGAATGAAAAAATGACCACATACGGGCATTCGGGTCACCCACAGGAAGTCTACTGGGACGCGGAACCGCAGTGGGAATAATATCACATGTCTGCATTAAAGTAAATAGAATGGCTGTGAAAGAGTTGCTGCGCTTAGAAGAAAATGTAAAACTGACAACATCCTTTAGTGTCCTGCCAAGAGCGAGACTATGACAGTTTAAGAAGTAATAAATGAACTTTAGAAGGCCCAAATGAACAGACAAAAAGTAAGGGCCGGTGAGGATTTTTGGCAAACGCGGGAGGGCTTTGTCTGCTTTTCCCATCTGCCGCTGTTTTTTATGGAGCAATGAATTACTTTCATCCCTCGGTAAATGGACGAGGGAAATGATTTTACTCGACACAGATCAGTATTCTGTGGCCAGCGGTTGTAGTCTGCACGGGCCTGTGCAGTTCAGCCCTGCAGGTTAAACATCAGCATACGCAGTCACGAAAAATCAAACCATTTAAAAGATATAGTTTTACTTACCAAGACATAATGAAAAATATCCTGCTCCCTTGCTAAGTATGACCTAATACGTACACCCACAAGACACGGCTGTATTTTCTTTAAGCTACAGGTGACATTGCGACTATTACAGTAAATGTCCAGCACTTATAGGTTGTGGGCCTGAACACTAATGACCTCGTTGTATTGAGAGATAACACATTTTGTCCAAAACGTAAGAATTACACTTTATGTTGTGCAACCAGAGTCTTTCCATGTGGTGGTGAAAGGGAACGGATTTCTCCATGCGAGAAACATCGACCAGGTGCTCTGCAGCTTCAAAATCAACGATACCATCACAATCAGTGAGTAAACCCGCCTCCTGTCCTATTTGGAAAACAGACTTTAACAAGAGGCAAAAGGTCGCACAACCAGTTGGGGAGGAAGTGGACAAAATTCACGGGTGCCACAACAAGCTATGTCTGTCTTTAACCAGTGTGCTATGGGACAAAACTAAAATCAGTCCAGAAGTTTCTGCATTAAATAATTTCTACTACCTATATTGCTTCCCATTTATCAAAATCTCTTTTTTCTTCCAGATGAAAAGCCAGCCGGAGTACAAAACACCTTCTTATTGTGTCCAGCTCCGATCATTGATGAAGTCGGGAAGTAAGTTCTTCTTTCCCGTCCATATCTTTTCCATTAGTTTTTCTGTTTCAACCGGAGAAAAGCACTTATATATAACTTATATACAGTATAACTTTGAGGCTTCCACCTGCATCATCTATCACATTCTTTGCCTTAAACCAAAGGAACACATGGGTGCCTTCGTGTGCACATGTGCGTAGATCACCAGAAATCTGACATACATTAGCTGTTTTTACGATCCGTCCCATCCGTGGCCGCATTCCACCTTTCTAAATCCCAGCGAGCCCAGCTTAATGTAAATGGGGCTCCGTGGGCCGTGCCAGCTCGTAAGGCGGCGAAGCCTTTGTCCCCGTTTCTGTCCTGAATTAGCACAAAGCCGTAAAAGCAAGAGCAGAAACTTCGGTGCTGACACACACAGAAACAGGTGAGTCACGCCTGGAAACTCGCAAACCGATGAAAATCAGCTCACAACTTGCCAAGTCATTACTGAACAGCATCCCAGCTGGTCAAAATAGATTCCGATATATCAGAAAACATATATATTCCTATAAAGAACAGAGTGAATAGGCTAATGTTTTGTTTTATTTTCACAATCAACCAGCAGCAGGTTGAAAAGGAGGTCTGGAGAGGTCTCACATTGAATATTCCAGGCTCAATGGTGAGCTTTTTCCAGGAAAAATTAAAGATAAAAAATTAAATGAGTCTTGAGGACTTTGCATGCTACCTGCAGACAAGTTTAGCCGCGCGTTGGGGCGAACATCGTGGAGCAATTAACAACTAAAGAGGAAATTACATCCCGGTTTGGAAGCCAAAACAGCCGAAAGGGGAAAAACTATTCCATAACAAATTTGCATGTGTGGAAACGCGCCCTCAAATAAAATCTCGTGTATCGCTTGTATGAATTTTCCATTAGAAACGTGCTTCAAAGTCTGGCGTTTGGGCTGTCATGAGCGGGAATGAGATACGGCTTTTTTGCAAGACATTTACAATGAGAAAAAAACTCCTGGCTGAGGTTTCTCCACTCAAGCCGTCACCGCTAAAATGTCGCTAAAACCGTTCCTCGACGGCTGGCATCCAGCATCCACAGTCCACAAACCTCCGTCACCCAAGTCCTCATGGGAGGAAAGTAGGTCACGAGTTTGAGTGGAAGGTGGCAAAGAATTTACACAACCGAACGGAAGAAGGCTTCTTAAAACTGTCTCTCTCCACATTGGTGTGAGAACTGGGACGCTAAGGAATCAGGACTGGGACGCTGTATTTGAAAACCTGACTGTCAAGCTCCCTTCTGTTAGATTTTTTTGTTCTGTTTTTATAGTCCCATTCTCACTTTGGGCGCCACGTTGACTTGTCGGTTGTTCTGCAGCCCCAGCTTCTCCTCTGCCTGCCTTCGCTTTTCATCCTCCCCTCAGTACCTGACTTTTATTTGCCCCTGACAGCGCCATCTTTCACCCAGCGCCGTCTGCTTTTGTCCGATCAAAGCCAAAAGGAGCCAAGTGTGTGTGTCAGAAGGGTGGAAAAAAGAGAGGACGCCACTCATTAGAATCATGGACCTCATTAGGTTTTGGACGTACCTACTTAAAACCGGGTCTTTATCGTTGTCACATTCAATTTTCCTTCCCTTTTCTTGCAGTTAAGTAAATTAAAGATCATCGTTTTTCTTACCTCACAGGGTTCTTTTTAATTTTTTTTAACGACGAACCAATGGGGAGAAAATGTTATCTCTAAAGTTCTGCTTAGAGGTCTGTGTGGATGTATGTGTTAAGGCAAAGGTTTCGCAGTTACTGCGCTAGTTTCAGTTTCTCAGGAGAGCTGTGGGAACATGATAAGACAGTCTGCCTCGTTTCCTCGCCTCACAGCCGTCTGTGACCAGGCTGATTTTCCTCAGCATCCACATTTTTCACACTGGTGCATTTATTCTGGCTTCTGCCTCCCTTTATTGGGCATTTTTCTGTCTATAATTGCCCCTCAATCCATTAAATCTATTGTTTTTATGTGGATTCTGGAGCGCATTGGAGACGATTTGGCCTACATTTAGCACAGAAAAGGTTCTAAAAAGGTTTAGAATGCCTCAGTCATCGTGCTCCTCTGTTTTGTTATGCTCCCCTACTTTGGGAGAGTCAACCCTCAGGGGGCAGTTAGCAGAGACACGCTCTAAAAACAAGACTCCGGGTCTGTTAAAGAGAGACTTTCGGTCCATCTGTGCCTGCGGCTGACATCACGCAGCCATCCACCGACCCAGCTCTCCCCCTCTCCCTGCCCTCCTTCTCTGAACCAGGTCTGTGTGTCAGATTAGAGACAGGTTTATCGGTCAAATGGCCTGTTTTCCATTTGCCAGACCTCTTTTACACCCAACCGTGCCTTTCATCCTCATTTTTAGGAACAGAACCACGACAGGGCCCCTCTAAGAAACGAGGTCAATGGGGATCACTCGAAAGTTCTCAGAATTGTTTTTCCCTGCTGGAGGGGGCAAAACGGGGGGGCGGGGATGCGGGGAGAGGGGACTTTTGACACAGATGAGGTGGAGCATGGGGCAAAGGCTCATGTTCATGTGTGAGGATCAAACTCAGTGCAATAAAAAGCTCAAATGAAAGCAAAAACAAAACCCTGGACTGGCAGTTTTTCCCTTTGTTTTTCGAATTCAACAGGTCTCCCCCGTTTAATTTCTGTCTTTCAGTCACAGCTACTGACGTCGGCTCCTTCATATCATGATTCCATGTGTTTTGTGGTTTTTTCCTTACAGGTCTGATTTAGACAAATTCAGTTTGGGGACATTTTTCATTGTGAACTCCGGTTCAAATGACACTCTTCCCAAATAAACTGGCCCTAAGAGGGAAACACTTGAGTTTAAATAGACAGATCCAGATGCACTTTGTTTGGACTGTGACGTTACACCTAAACGCTGATCTTTTCTCTTGTTCTGCGTGTGTCTGTCTCTGTTTGTTTGTTTCAGGGTGATTTATCTCCAAGTGAGCATGAATGATGGTCTTTCATTCATTAGCAGCAATGTTCACATCAACACCACAGAGTGTGTAAGTTCATATTTTCTCATTTTTAAGCTGTTTCTATCCAGATTTGTTTTCCTTCCCTCCACTCCAGCCACTCAATTCCTTGAAGTCTGATGTTTTTTTTTCTTATTTATCTTCCCTCTCCCTTCCTGTAATCCCCCTATAGGACAGGAGGTTTAATCTCTTTCGAAAGGGAAAGTTAAACAACCCGTGGCAGGGTCGACTGATGAGCCGTTTCTCTGTGAATCCATCCCTGAGTTGTAGTGGCTAATGGCGCAGACCAGAAAGTCTAGCGTTCGTGAGCGTGTGTGGATAGAAATGTGTCAGTGTGAAGAAGGGTAGAGCCTCATTATGAGGGGAGGACCAAAAAAAATGTAATTCAGTGTAATTTGGAGCATTCTAACTAAATGAAAAATGGAACATATGGAGTGAAGCCACAGCGGAGCCCCATTCGACCAAAAAGAAATAACCTCTTTGAAGCCGCTCTCCTGCCGGTGGCGTCATTGCCATGACAATTCGGTGAATTCAAACTGCCGCGTTGTGGTTTATGATATGCGGCCACTCTCTCAGACATACCGTTGCAATTAGCTGCTTCTTGCCACTGAGCTTAACCATAACCATCTAGTAGGGGGAAGTCACACCGTGCCTTAGAAGACAGGCCAACTCTGCCAGCCACAGATTGGCACATCATAAAGTATTGATAAAAGCTGAAAGTAAAGGGTAGGGGCCCAAGCTCCTCCCTGACTCGAATAACACAGAGATGCAGATGCAACATAGGAGTTTCCAGTAGTGATCGCCATACAAATACCATGTCAAAATCTCTAACTGCCACTCCATTCCTAAAAAGAAAAGCCCATTCTCTTAATAGAGCGTCATAGGAGAAGTCCTGATTCGGTTCCCGTGACTATAGCTCCCACGCAGGGAGCCCCACAGCCAAGTTCAGACAAATCCCCCACATCTTTACCCCAAGACAGATAGGGGGAAAGTATAACCACATGTGATCCTCATCTGTGGTGTTTAATGGGAAACACGTTTGGCTCAGAGACTTTAAAGAGAGCAGTGTTAACAGACCAATGTATTCGGGGATCAAACGGTGTGTATCGACCACTGTCACTGACGCAAAAAACCTGAAAACAAGTGGCAAACGAAAACCAGATCTGCAGGCTTTAACTATTTTTTTTCCCTCAAATCTGTCACACCGACCAGGGAACTGTTTTTCTGCTGTCGCAGCTAGTTCTCTTGCTACTACGAGTGCTAGTTTTAGCTTCATCTCGTGCTGCTTCAACTATTTCTCGTAAACTTGAACTGGGTAGTCGGCCCTTCCCGGGTCGGTAGTAACGACCTGCTGCTTTGTGTGTCTACCGACCAGTTTGATGGCACCATACTCCTGATCACCCTGCTGGTGTTGATCCTCCTGCTCGCCCTTCTGTTCATGTGGTGGTTCTGGCCTCTCTGTTGTACTGTGGTAAGTAACGCCAACGCCGACACAACGCCAAACATCTAGAATGTGAATATTTTGAATGACCCCTTATCCCGATAAGCACAGTTCAGAAAGGCATTGTGGACAGGAGAAAAAAATCAGAACAAGGATCGATGTCACAACAAACAGGACTCAGCACCAACACACATTTACAGTTTAAAATAAATGTGTATTCAATGGGCTGTATACATGTGTTTAGAGGGTGACCTGTTCCCGGACTCCATGGGTGCACAATCAGTCTTAACAACTTCAATGGGTTATTTTTTATACTTGAAACCATTTACTAGAGATTAACAGCAAACATAAACCGAACCGCAGTATCACTCCAACCCAAAGCGAATCTTTGCCCTCTCTGAAAAAGCTAAACAACTAACAACGGCACCAACTAAACTAAGAGCAATCCGCTGCTCATAGATTTCTGATCATGATCCCAAGTGGCCGAAAAAAACGAATGTGTAGACATCTGTTTTGAAACCCCCTGAAACAATGAGATGGCTACTCGAGGGAAACCTGGCTCAAATAAATAGATCAGATGTGTTGGCGCAGGAAAGCGTCTTAAAAACAGCCGGGCAGGTGGACGAACACTGGCTGGGCAGATGTGCCAAACATGGCCAAACATCTGCGATTTAAGTGTAAACAGATTAGTGATATTGCTCAGTCTGTCATTTATGGAGGAATAAAAGAAACACTTTACAACAGGAATTTTGTAAAACATTTGAAAAGAAATTCAACCAAATTAAAAGAAGCATAAAAAAGTGAGGGAATGACCACAAAAAGCTTCCACAAACCAACATGCAATTTAATGAGGTTTATACTTGTTTTGTTTGGTAGTTACAGCCAAAACAGACTAACCAACTAAAGATCTGTCTATCCATTTGCTATACCCTGTATTCCTAGTAGTGTTTCGTAGGAGTCAGCAGTCATTGGGTGAGCAGAAGGAAGTTGGAAGAACCTGGAGAGAAACCATGCATACAAAGAGAGAGCATGATTTAAAGGACATAGTCTGTCATATTAAGTAGTGGCTTGTTATCCCAACTGTCCACTGGTCTCCGCCAATGGTCTCGTTCTTTTGTCCAAAGCCCCTGGTAGCATTGGTATGATAGGAAACCATGTGCAAAGAAAACCCCTGCAGAGTTCCTCTGACAGTGGTGGGATTCTTGGGAATTTGAAAATGGTGACCATACTCTGGTTTTGTTCGTAGGTGATCAAAGAGCCTCCTCCCCCACCTCCTCCTGAGCCCGTGAGTAAAAGCGCACACAAACACTGCTACACAAACACGTGCCCTCAAAGTCATAGCCGTGAAAACCTAGTACCACCGGCCGATAAACTTTGGAATGTGGTCTTCAGGAATCAGATGATGACGACGGCCTGCCCAAGAAGAAGTGGCCAACTGTGGATGCCTCATATTACGGAGGAAGAGGCATCGGAGGAATCAAGAGGATGGAGGTGATGAGATGATCCACCTGAAACACGTATGAAGAACGGCAATTATTTGACCTAGTTTGTTGTGTTTTTTGGTACCGTCTGCTGTTTGCAGGTACGCTGGGGAGGGAAGGGCTCAACCGAGGAGGGGGCAAAGCTGGAGAAGCCAAAGAACGCCGTGGTGAAAATGCCTGAGCAGGAGTACGAACCTTATGAACCCAAACCCAAGAAACCTCAGAACAAGAAGCCCCCTCAAAACCAGAAGTGGTACACGCCTATCCGGGTAAACAGTTTCACACAGATTCAGCAGACAATGGAGCACAGGCGCATTAAAAGCCCCTTTTATTCTCAATAGCAGCTTCAAATGTAAGCGTTTAGCTTAGGAATGCATGTCCCCCACCATGACACAAAATATTGTTTTGGAAACTGAAGAATCTGCCTTGTTTACAGTTTGACCACTTTGCATTTTCTTTTAGTTCTTGCCTATCATCAAATCTTACATAAACAAGTGTAGCAAAGCCTCTCGTCCCACAAAGGCCTGAGAGCCTTAAACCGGAGAAAAACATGAAAAGCGCCACAGATGGAGTGACTTTTCACAAGACAGCCGGGACGAATAAAGCCCACTCAGACCGTGCTTATATGTGTAATTAGTTGCACAAGCACCACAACCAAAGCCATATAATATAAACAGCAGACAGGGAGACATTATTTAATGTCCACACAGGCACAGACGCTGCTTACATCACGTTCTGTAACGCGTCCCTTCCCCTGGCCTTCCATACAGAGGCAGCACTGTGTCCGCACACACAGGTACTGTACATTAAAACTTTCAAGGCCGTATTTTGGCCGTGGCTTCCTCAAACACACACAGCGGTGATTCACAGGGTAATCGTACACTGTCCCCTCCCTGCACACACTGACTGTATGGCAAATACTGTATATACTGTACTGTATTCATGAGTGAAATTAGATGCTGGGTAGAAGTTTTACACCCCGAGGTAATCTGGTTTGAATTTTTAAAATCAGATTTATAACATCACAACTGTGAAGTGCTTAGTGTGTATCTGATGTTCTGTATTTCCCGATTCTTGGCCAATAATGTCTTCAGTGACTGTGAAATAAGCGAATACTATTTTATCAGTGTCAAGTTTTGGCTTAGGGTTTTGGATTAAGCCTCTACCTTCCTCTTTGTTCTCTTCAGGGCAAACTGGACGCTATTTGGGCTCTGTTTCGCCGTGGGTATGATCAGGTCTCCCTGATGCGACCACAGCCTGGCGACCATGTAAGTCTCAAATAATTCCGTTCCTCCTACAATGTTTTATATTGGTTACGGTATATAAGAAAAACTAACTTTATGGATTAAATGAATAAACGTTTGAAAGGTAAGTGAAACACTAGCCAGAGCTGTCAAACCTGAATTAAACATTACGAAAATAAAAGAAGAAAACAAAGTGGCAATAAACATAAAAAAACACTACTTCAATGTAAATTTCCACGCCCTACTGGACCATAAAACAATTTTATCAGTTTCTACAGAAGCCACGATGGGGCTTACCAGAAAACACTTCTTTACATTCCATTATCTAGAGGACAATCAGTCTGTTTTGTAAAAGATAACGAATCTCAAGACCGTGAATTATCTTATCTGGTTTTCACAAGAAATCTCCCTTTTTGTTTTGTCTACATCAAGAAACAGAAAAAACTTTTGTCTTATCATTGCAAGTTTTGGTCTTTCAAGGAAAGCAGTTGATTATGGTTATCTTAAAGAAATGTGATTTTATCATTATTATCACGACAGGGGCAGAATTATTACATCAGGTCAAGGCGTGGCGAGCACAGAGAGCATTATCTGTAATAGCTCTCCTCCAGGTCATCCCAAAACATCCCACCATTTACCTATATTCAACACTATTAAACCAACAAAACACTCTTTGTTTTATTAAAACAATATGACAAGAACAGGGAACAACTGCTAAAAACAGGAACCCTCCCTTAAAAATAATAATATAACTAGCCCCGTGAAGAGAAGAGTTGCACATTTGCATTCGCTTATGTTTTCTTTCCTGTTTTTGGAAAAATGTGTCATTCATTTCAGACAAAGTACAACCAACACAGCCTCTCAGCTCTAGCTGGAAATCCAAAAATCTGTTTCATCAGCTGTGTTACAGCAGACAGATGTAACAGTAACATAATAGTGGACAGCTTGTGAATATGAGCCACTAGCTACTGTTTGCTCCAAATTCTAAGGCAAAATCTGATAAAAAGAAAAACTGTATTAGTATTAGCAGTGATTTCTTTGTACCGTTTCATAAATGAGGACTTTTATAAGAACAATCTGCTGACATTAATGTAAGTTATGATGTAGCATCATCTGATATTTTTAAAGATGTAAAATAAAGCATCAACCTCTATACTTTTCACTGTACAGCCCTTTGTGGAGTTAAAAACTCCTCTGTATAGGAATCCAGTGCTTCCTAACTATAGCTGCTAACTTAAACTGAGAGTTATCAAACAGGCATATCCCACAGCAGCTTTGACAAAATGTGTCTTGGTGCTTATGAGTTAAAACTGGAGTTCCTAAGTTGTGTGATTATCCACTCCGGGGGCGAGAACCCAGCATTGGCTTCCAAAAAATCCCGGTTTTAAACGTCCGCTTGAACCGTCCAGGTCACGAAAACAGCTTAACTCATCTGTACCGATTACTCATCACATCCTCCATCCGTCAGTCAGTCTAACGCCCTCTAGGTGTTCCTGAGCTGGCTAACACCTCCGCTGGACCATTCCAGGGCGTTGAGCCGGTCCGCCTCTCCCACCTGCTTCACATTAGACGCCATAAATCGGACACAAAGCAGAACCGCAGCTCACATCTTTGTGGCTCTCTCCTCTCTGGTCTTAACACGTCAACCACATGGTTCGGTTTGAATCCCCCCGAGCCTCAATCAGAAAGCACCAGATAATAGTTGGGGCCGACGTTGCAGATAAAATTGGTGTACATTCAGGCCAGAAGGCTCTCTGGGGATCTTATAAATTCCTCAGACACATCCAGCAAAGTTATGTTTTATTGATTAAATGTGTTCTTCATAATTTCCAGCTCCACCAGTCTTTATGTGCTCTTTGTCATTTAGCGGTTCGTGATAAATTAGGAGTGCAAACTCAAAGCTGTGTTTGTTCCAGAATTACATAATGTGTAAAGTATTATTACTGTAGCATATTTACATAAGAAGGGCAGCAGGGGGGAAAACAAACATCTGTGTTGAGGGTATTTGTTGGTTTAATGAGCAAAGTCTGTGTTGACTTTTTTTGAAGGTTTGTATGGAAAAATGTTTTTGGTTACACAGAAACACCTCCCCATGGATGTGTGACTCTACACTGCAGTAATTTGAACATTTAATAATTCTTCGGATTTACCTTCTCCTGCCCTCCATTTTATCTCATCCTTTATAGTTGTTTCCACCCTTTTTTTCCTGTACTTTCTCCCCGTTGCGCCACTCAGCCCCGCTGATCATGCCCAGTCCTAAGAGCCGCTACAGAATCCTGCCGCATTAACAGAAAATTTCCACTGATGTTTTTATAACCAAAATTCCACATTTTAGAGGGTTTTCTTGGTGAAAACATGCAGGCAGAGAGACAGATAATCCTTCAGGTTTCCGAGTCTCCATTAGCTTACAAGATCATCATCAACGGAGTAATGCAATGGTAAAATTCCTCTAAAAAGATGGAAAAAGAAAGTTGTTTCATGTGATTTCTGCTATCCAGAAAAAGCGTTTAGCCATGACTTCATGCATTAACTCTGCAATGCCTATTTTCCATTCCCTCTTTCCTCTCAAAAGACGACTCCTCTTCAAGTTTTAGAGAAAGCTGAGGGAAGATCTTAAAGGCCAGGACACTACTCGTGTCTCTGTAGTGTAGTGTTTTATCTCAAAGAGAAACCACATTGCAACGATTAATAAGATAGGCAGGCTCCCACAGGAACAGTTTAATGTAACGCTTGATAAAAAACCTGGATGCTGTTGTTACTTATTCACCCTGAAATGGTGGACTGGGAGTATAAGCTTCTTTCAGCTTTTTCATGCTAGAACTTGAGCGTTATATCCCTAGGCATGAAAAAGGAAACCAGATAATAACATCTTAAAGACTTAATGTTTCAAGTAAGCTTTTTTTCAAATCTGGGTCTGAATTCAATTATCATAATACAGATAAGAAAAGCATTTTCATTAAGAATGTGGAATCTACATTTGGTGAAGCAGTGCACTGTTCTGAGTCTAAGTGTCCCATAACCACTTCCATGACGATGACGTGAGAGTATACAGTATTAAAAGAGATCTGGTGGCCAAGTCTCTCTCATTCACATAAACACCAGCTTCCCTCGGGAGGCAGTTAGCTGGCTAAAGGACATGAGGTAATACCTATGGCAGACGACTGCCAGGCCTGTCTCCACCAACCAACCAGTCATGTCTCACACACATACATACACAAACACGCCACGCACATGCACGCACACACACACACACACACGTTTTTTCCCAGGCCTGGACAATTTTACGACCTCGGTAAGACTGCAGACAGTGGAGGAGGTCAGTTTGAAAGAACAAGCAAATGCGGTTTTCTTTAATCGAGGAAAATGTTAAGAGGTTCAAACTGTAGCTCACTCAGAACAAAAAGCTCGGGTCAAAATTAAATTAAACATACATGTGCTTTCAGTCTACGAAAACTCCTTTTTTTTTTTAGCAAACCCTGAGTTTGTTATCCTGCCATGACATGAAAAATTGAAGAGAAAAATCCCCAAATATCTCAAATATGGTTTCAGAATTGGGAAAGCATGAAATTATCTGCTTTGAGATATAAGGGGTATTTCTTAACTAAAGAACTTCATGTTGAAATACCTCTGTTGATGCCAGATATTTCGGTCTGGTTTTTTTCATGGCCAAAGTTATCAGCAGTTCAGGAATGAGCGAGGCACAGAAAAATTCTCATTATTAATCCATTGTACTTAGTTTGCTAATACCCACTTGTGTATGTTGAATGAGATTTTCTGAGTATGTTACACTTCAAAATGTTATGATTGGGCTTTCTGGTTTGTCTCTTTCCAAAAATGAATCCACTTTTTCTTTTTCTAATTATTTGTACGTTACAGGTTATATAAGTCTTATGGGCTCACCACCTATAGGAGGGGCCAAAAGGGTTGGGTGCAATGTGTTATCTGCTTTGGTGATTGCCGAGGCAAAAACTTGGGTGTGGGAGGAGTTCGGGGTGGCCATGGAAAAAAACTTCCGTACGGCTTCGAGGCGATTGTAGTCCACCATCCGGTGTCTCGGCGGGGGGGCAGTGCTCCACCAACACTGTGGGGTTGGCGTGCTGTTGACCTCAACTCATGACGTTGTGGGTCGGTGGGCGAAGACTTTCTCAATCCCACTCGCGCTTCTTCCATTGTAGGAGCAGAGCCTGGAGATCTGGGGTCAGCTCTCCAATCTCTGGGGCTGAAGTCACAGAGGTGGTCAAAAATCTCCACGGTGCCAAGGCTCCGGGGGTGGATGAGGTTCGGCTGGAGTTCTTTAGGGCTCTGGGTGTTGTAGGGTTCGTTGGCTGACATGACTGCAATATTGTGAGGACATCAGGGGCAGTTCCTCCAGATTGGCAGACTGGGGTTGTGGTCCCCCTATTTATAAAGGGGGACCGTAGAGTGTGTTCCAACTATTGGGAGAGCACACTCTTAAGCCTCCCTGGAAAGGTCTATTCGGCGGTTATGGAGAGGAGGGTCATCTGATCGTCGAACCTCAGATTCAGGAGGAACAGTGAAGTTTTCGTCCTGGCCGTGGAACGCTGGACCAGCTCTAAACCCTCTGCGGGGTCCTGGAGGGTGCATGGGAGTTCGCCCAACCAGTCCACATGCGTTTTGTGGACTTGGAGAGGGCGTTTGACCATGTCTCTCCAGGGTGCTCCAGGAGGATGGGGTACCAGGCCCTTTGATACGGGCTGTTAGGTCCCTGTAAGGCCGGTGTCAGAACTTGGTTTGCATGGCTGGTACTAAGTTAGACTCGTTTCCGGTGAGAGTTGAACTCCGCCAAGGTTGCCATTTGTCTCCGGTTCTGTTCATAACTTTTATGGACAGAATATCTAGGCGTAGCCAAGGTGTTGAAGGTGTCCGTCTTGGTGGCCTTAGGATCGTTGGCTTCATCAAGTTGTGATCTACAGCTCTCGCTGGAGCGGTTCACAGCCGAGTGCGAAGCGGCTCGGATGAGGATCAGTGCCTCCAAGTCCGAGACTATGGTCTCTAACCAGAAAAGGGTAGAGTGCCTCCTCCGGATCGGGGGGGTCCTTCCCCAAGTGGAGGAGTTTAAATACATCTTGTTCACGGGGTAGGGAGCGGGAGATGGACAGGCAGATAAGTTCAGCGTCGGCAGTAATGCAGGGGCTGTACCGGTTGTGATTAAGAGAGAGCTGAGCATAAAAGTAAAGCTCTTGGTTTATCGGTTGATCTACGTTCCCACCCTCATCTATGGTCACGACCTTTGGGTGGTGACCGAAAGAACCAGATCACGGATACAAACGAAATTAGTTTATTCCGCAGAGTGGCTTGGCTCTCCCTTAGAGATAGGTTGAGAAGGTTGGCCATCCAAGAAGGGCTCAGAGTAGAACCGCTGCTCCTCCACGTTGGGCGGAGCCAGTTGAGGTGGCTCGGGCATTTGATTAGGATGCCTCTTGGTTTCCTCCCTGGTGACTTGTTCCGGGAATGTCCTGCCGGGAGGAGGGACACGCTTGGAACGCCTTGGGATCCCCCCAGAGGAGCTGACAGAAGTGGCAGGGGAGAGGAAAGTCTGGGTTTCCCTGCTTCGGCTGCTGCCACCGCGACCGAAACCCGGATAAGCGGTGGAAACTGGATGGATGGATGGATTTATAGGTTATTTAACAGGATAAGCTATGGCAGCACAGCTAGCTTGTTTGGTGTCAAGGTTCCTAGCTACATAACATCATTAGCAAACCACAGTGCCTCCTCAAGTAGTTAGTGCTCTGCAAGATATTCAATTCAGGCCTACTTTGTCAAAAAGGGTCTGAACTTACTTAATGAAAAACTAGCCTCATGTTTATACTTTTGGTATGTGGTCATAATCAGTTAGATAAGCCCAGCATAAACACTAGAAACATATTCAGATTCAGTTGGCATCCTAATCCTCCAAATGTAAAATAGATCAATAAAAATACTGCTTATGAATAGTAAACCTATTTTTCAGTTTTCTATGTGAGTGATTGGTGACAAACCAGAAGATTTAACAGCGTTACAGAAGGAGAAGTAGCTCAGACTGCATTTGGTCATTTTTAGACGTTTACCTTTTTTCCAATGCCAGTTTCAGCCCTGATTTTAAAGTTTTACTTTCAGTCACGTGCTTTAGGTGAAAGCAGCATAGCTTTATTTGCATGACTCCAGGAGTAATACTTTTCCAAATCCAAAGCCCTTGTTCACCCAACTTTCTAAGTGATTTCACATACCTTTTCCTCACTTTCCATGATGTAAAACCACAACTCTGTGGCTCAAATCACACAGTACTTATTAGTGGATTAACATTACTTCTCCTCACTCCGACTAGTGAAGAGGAGTAATGTTACTTCATGCAAGTGGAGAGTTTCTATGGCAACAGCAACCTCTGTGAACTTTGCGGTAGTTTGCGGTTCGTTTAATATTTTATGAGTGGCTCACATGCACAGCCGAACACCAGCCACTTCTTTTTTTTCCTCGTTTGGCCTCATCAAAACGAAGAGTGCTTTGGTAAGCGGGATAAGTTAGAGTGTGGGCGTAAAAGCATGGATTTACATGTAATCCGTAACACCAGCTGGCTACACACAACTGCCAGCACACACACACACACACACACACACACACACACACATAAGCATAAGCATAAGCATTGAAAGGGCAGTGACTGTACCACGACCTAAGCTCAAATGAGTTCATAGGCAAGATGCTCTTTGAATTAGATAACTATGTGTAGTTATATTTTAAAATATTAAAATGAACTGACCCTGACAGCCCAACCAAGCACCTCTTAAATAATATGGAAAGTTTGTTAGACCTCGTCCACATGTCGCAGGGGTTTTTGAAAAAAAGGTTTTTATCTTGGATTTGGCCTATCATCCACATGAAAACGCAGATATAAATTAGTAAAGATGGATCTTTTAAAAACTCTGGCCAAAGTTAAGATTTTCCGATGCTCTGTTTGTGGACCTTTACAACCAAAGATCTTCATTTGTAAACCTCACTGCATGCGATCAAAAAAGTTGCCACATTACATATGTGCCCATTGTTAGCATGGATTGTGCTCTAAAAATCCCCTTAGAATGTCCATCTATTTGCTATGACAAGACTCCAAATCCACATTCTGTTAACTTAAAACTCCAAAAGAACATTTTAAAGCAATTTAGACTCCTTGTCGGTCCATACAAACGATCTTGGTGTCATATCTAAAGTTTCTGAATCAATGGGATTTGGAGAAGGTTTGACATGGTTGGTGTGGTTCCCAACCATGTCAATTTTTTGGGTTAAAAAATGTATCCTTATTGATATTTAGATAGGGACAAGGTCCTAGATGTCCTTCTTCATCATCGTCCGTAAAACCCAAAATCTTTGGAAACAAGTACTGCATATCCCTCCACCCAATGCTCAGATCTCACCAGTGGATTGTTATTGATTCTCTCAGAACAAAACCTGCTCTGAAACGGTACTGGAACTGTGTTTGATCTTTCCAATATTTTCGTTGTAGGGTCGATGCATCAACTTCACCAGAGTAAAGGACGAGGCGGCGGCAGCCAAAGTTCCTCCCCGCGCTCCGATCCACACGCCGTCGCCGCCGCCTCCAGACTACCGTCCAGTCGTTCGCTCCATCCCCTCGTCCCCCACCTCGGCCAGTCCGCCTGCCAAGCCACCTCCCTCATGCCAAATGCCCCCAGGACCACCACCAGCCCGCACACCCCCGGGGCTTCCTGGTCCACCACCATCGCGCCCTCCGCCCAGTCTCCTACCATGAATCGCACTAAGCCCTTGTTATCACATTGATGTTACCACCCTGTTCACCAGTTTTTAAGTTTGAAAAGAAGTGCCACACTGCCAAAGATACTCCTGCCTTAAGCCAAAGATCAAGTATTTTGAACCTCAGCCACTGTGTTCCTTTTTCTTGTACGGTATAGAGTATCAAGAAAAACTGCCGGTTTTTCATAATAGTGAAATCCCAAAATGCAACCAGCTGGCATGACAATTTATTTGAAAAAAAATCACTAGATTTAATGTGTTTATGTGAAGTTAACATGTGTTAATGTGCAAATGCCAAAAGATTGGGTACTTAAATTTTCTGCTAATTTTAAGTAAGCGATCAAAAGATAGAGAAAAATGTACCCATAGTTTGAATGACGTTGTTATGTCATGCAGATGGGTATAATTAGAGAAGATGTTTCGCTCAGGTTTCTGAGTTCAGGGAGGTTTGTTGCTTGACAGCACAGTATGTTGGAATTGAAAGTCCAGAGAAGAATTTTGCATTAGAAGAAGTGCCTTTGTTGTCTTTATCAACTACTGATTTAGGCCATTATTATTAAAAAGGTTACAGTGAAGAGAAGGTCTGAAAGTCTGAAAACCCTTTAAAGCTAAACTGAATTGGCTTATTTCTTTATTGCTGTTTGGTGAATAAATTATTTTAGGAATAAGATTTCAAAGTACATTTAAATGATGTGGAGTAAGAGGTTAGACGGATGAATTTTAAAATTCCTCTAAGATTTTTTAGCAATTTGTCTTTGATTCTGAAATTCAGTACAAGAATGGTTGTAGATTTGTGTTCTGGTTAAACGCTCAGAAGTTGATGGAGAGTATGTTTTTACAGTGTATGTATGAAATTGGTTTGAATCGCAATATTGATTGATGTATTTGAGGCTTAGGAATTTGTTTGTCTTCACCATTTCATCTAGTTGAATTTAGGTAACAATCTTTGTTTTCACATTTCTTCTGGCTTTTTTTTTTGTATCTGTGCACATAGACTATTAGGCAACTTAAGTACGTATGTTTTTTGTTTTTTTTACATTTGGAGTTATAAACTGAAAAAAAATCAGGCATTCAGAAATCAGGTTAACTTCTTACATTTTTTTTGTTTTGTATTTTGTTTTCACACAATCCTGATACTGTACTTTGGTCGCATTATGTATATTTTATGTCTTCAGTTAAATCATCACCGGTCACATTGCAACTGCGGGGCAGTTCAAAGAGCATCTAATTTATTTAACTTCCCTACAGAAATAGAGGAGGGAAACTGAATATCGACAAGGTGTCCAACCACCAAGATGGACACTGTGTGCAGAGTTTAGAAACACACCAGCTTACAGTTTAATAGTTATACAAGTCATACCAGCATTTCTTAACACCCCGGCTACACTGTAAAAAAACTTTAACTGAAAGTAAAGAAGTAAAGAAAAATCAGGCGTCATCTACATCATAGGTTGCTCTTATCTAGCAGAGGGACATATTTAGAAAGCATAACAGTAGTTTGTTAACAGTGATGATGCAAAAAAAAAATAAAAAAAAGTGGCGGACATCAGCTGCAAAAAAAAAAAATTACAATGGCATTTTGTTATCACAGTGTAGAAAATAGGATGGAACTATTCCAACTCCTATCCAGTGACTTCTGGAATTTTCTTCAGTCGTTTTTTCCTTTTTCAAAAATGTATGTCATTCAATTATGTCCTGTTAACGCTGGATGAACAACGTGCTTTCAAATATTCTTGGTAGTGCATTGTGGTTGAACCTTTGATGTGCTACATATTGAAACTGTCTTTTTTTTTGTGTGATGTTTTTGTTGTAATCGCCATAAACAAAACGACAAAGCCGAAACAACCGAAGAAGCGACATGAGAGCAGCGTTTTGCATCAGTTGAGCGAAACATCCGAAACACTCCTCAAATCTCTGTTGCCGTGTACTGCTGCCCGATTCAGAATAGTAGAAATGTCTCCATCACTCCATTTGCTCTTTCCATTTAGAGCTCTAACACAGTGGTGTTGGTTCTTAGTTTGTGGTAATTGCATAAGTAAATCTTCCTTACTTTTTCATATTGTAAAACATATTGTAGCCTTTACAATTATTTTGTAAAAATCAGGGGTATTATGTCGTACCTGCTTTGTATTTTTTTTTACATGGCATCAAGAGCAGATTTTGCCTCGACGGAGTAAACTGTTTCCATCCCTTTTTTCCTCGGTATTTGTTGGAAAATCATATGGCATGTTGTTTTTCACATCTTGATAAAGAGGTACAGCTTTGCGTTTTGCTAACTGACTGCAGCTGTACAACACTAAGAAGGACCATATTTCTTTGGTGGGGGTTCACAACAGATACATTCTAGTAATGAGTGTCTTTTCATGACCAGTACTGAAGTAAATATGAGAGCCCTAACAGATTTTTCTCCTTATTGTTGGCTTACATGAATCTTTTTTTTGACAGTATCAATAAAGGTTGACTCCTTAGCTTCTACTGGAGAGGTTCTTTTGTCATTTTTGCTTGGATTTATGTGCAAATAACTCTGTCTCTCACACACACACATGCATATATGTGTGTGTGTCCATGTGTGTGTGCGTGCATGAATACATTTATGTGATTACATGTTTTATGGGGAAGTTACCTGTTACTCATGAACACTAATGACTTCCATTTACTCACTTTCTACTCATTTATAGCCTTCCTATTTTGGAAAAAAGAACAAGGAAAATATTGCTTCTAAGTTTATCCATACACAAAAATAACACCTCTGTGATACTTAAGTTAAGGTTTATCAGAACTATGCCTTCCAGGCTGTGTCCATAATGCCTCAGTGTGTCTATGAAAACACACTGGCCGCTCAGGGAGAATCCAGTATGCGTTACACTCCGGTTGGTAATAAATTTGATCCAGCCAGAATAGCCCTCACCAGCAGCTCCAGCAATATAATTACTGTGGAGTCTGTGTTTTTCCCCTTGTGCATGCACTGGAGGAGAGGATGTGGGATTCTGAGAGGGGTTGGCTGAATCAGAAAAATTGGGAAAAGAATGGAGAAAATGAGGCACCATATCCTTTATGCACACATAAGGCACGAAGCTTAGGAAATCAAGAATAACATCAGCTGGGACTCTCCCTCCGTTCTATCGCCTCACCATCCCTGCTGCATCGCCATTTCTCTCTCTTTTTTTTCCTGTTCACTTCTGCTTACGATCTGACTTTGTGTTTTTGTATTTTACATTTAAAAAAACTGGGAAAAGGGCAATCGGTGCATATTCCTGAAACGCTGACCCAGGCCGAATAATTTCCTGTACACAGCTGATATCTTTGCCAACAATCTAAAATACATGCAGATTACAAAGTTAATCCTAAAATGTTAAACGTTTTAGTTTTCTAACCAGTGAAGACTTACTTTTAGAATAATCTAACCCAAGAGTCTGCATCAAGTTGACTGCATGCTTGTGCACTCCGCTTTGTGGCCTTGATGAAAGAATGAGGGTTTTTTTTCCACAGTCCTCTTAAACTGACAGCCAACTTTTCTTTATTTCGTCCCAATTCACTTCAGCAAACAAAAGCCTAGCAGGGGAGGGACATAAATGGCAGTTTAATGATCTGTTGGCCCCGCCACAACAATCATTTTTTAAGCTATAGCTCTGTTCCTCGTCTGGTTTGCAGATATTCAGACGGTATTTGTGGAGAGTAAATTCCCTCATCAACCACACCATGGAGAAAACATGGTTGAAGGCAGCTCAAAACATTTTCCTTCAGCTTTACACACAGTTCTAATGAGAACTGGAGGAGTTCTTGTCCTGTAATTATGAGAAGACAACAGGAGACAACTGCATCATTTAGAAGGGGTGTCATGTTTTCATCTGTTTGTTCTACCCTCTCAATTTAACCCAGTAAAATAATCATACTGACAATGTGATTTTCTTTTTTCCTTTTCTTTTTTTCCCCCTTCTGCCTTTCTTTCACTCTTTATTTAGTAAGAAGTTAACCGAAGCCCAAAGGAATGTGCTGATGGACGAATGCTTCATCTTGGTCTCACATTACCGCCCAGACTGAACCTCACTGACCCAACACAAACACACACACACACACACACTTGTTTTCCTATCTTTGTGGAGTTTCATCATTGACATAATGCACATTCCAACCCTATCCTAACCCCAGGGTCACATTTCAACCTCCACTGCTAAACTAACTCTAATCTTAGTCACAACTTGACCAAGTTAAAAAGAAGATTTGAATAACACACAACACACTGCAATCTCTATAGTCGGTGTTGGACCCCGTAAATGCTGAAAAACAGCGTAACACATACACACACACACACACGCAGATGTTGGTATTTGTCATTGTGCCTGTATTTTGATGCCCTTGGTATCCATGGTAACTACTCTGAGTGGAAACGGCAGGCCAGTAAGACAGAAAGCTGTCCTGTAGGTCTGATGGGGATTTCTGTATTACTATATTAACCGGCTCTAACTGTGTTACAACATGGGGCCTGTTTTGATTCTGTGTATAGAATTGGCTCAAACCGGCCCATTGTTCAACAATGTTCATAGATTATAATGGCAGAGGTTATTGCTTTCCTGTTAAACTATCACTGTAAATTGAGATAAGTTTTTTTTACAGGTAACCTTGAGACAGAAAGTGTGTCTAATGGCTGGGAAAGTAAGGAGAAAAAAGGATGTGTTATGAGAGAGAGCAGATTGTTGATATTTATCTTAATCCATCATTGAAATGGACCAAATTACACTTTAAATGAATTATTGTTTTACTAAATAAACTCTTGAATAAGATGAAAAGTGGGTTTGAGCTTCAAATTAATTGCAAATTTGAAATCTCTCAGCAGTGTAGAACTCATACACAGCAAAAACTGTCAAATTTTGTCTGCAATGTTGCAACATTTACATATATGCACGGAAAGAACAGTTTATGGCACAAAGGGGCATCAAAGGATTCAGAACAAACTCAAAACCGTTCTGCCCGGTAGTACTATGGCCCATTTGTTTCTTA